AAATCGAGTACAATAAAATATCATTTTCCAAAGCCTCAGACTTTCAAAGCAACCGCATGACCAAATAAGCATATATAATAAAGTATGTGGCGATGCAAATAGTTCAAAAAGTGAGCATAAACATTAGATGTTGACATGCCTCTGGCAGGATTTCAGCTGCAAAGTAACCAGTCAAAAGTGCATTTATTTGCATGTTGCTTATTTATTTATTTACAGTTTGACTTTACTGTTTGGTGTTTTTGATCATTCAAAAATCAATGTTGCTTTGAAAACTACATTCATATACGGACCTGAATATAAATGAGCAGTTACTGTAGCTTTCTGAATCAAAGCGCTCAGTATTTTAATATGCACACACGTAAGAGGAACTAGCGAATCACAAAGCACTCTCAGTTCCAATGTCACCCATTGGAAGACATACTATTGGTGGATTAAAAAAATGAATGCATTTTAGTTGGTTGTTGCTACTTCCTCCTTTTGCATTCAGTATTCTGAAAGAGTGCCGTAGCCCGCTTGATGGCCATATAGTAAGCAACTCAACACAGGTACGTACATCAATGTATAGACTACAGTTCCAGTTAAACACTGCCATTTGAACAAAATAAAATGATACTGTAATGTTGAAAACGGCTTACCATGTTTGCACCTCACTGGAACAATTTCAGAATATACTGAAGAACATCCACAGCCCAACATGAAATTATCTTTGAAAAAAAAAAAGCCACGAGGAGTAAAGCCTATCTTACTTGCATTCAGTCCCAATTGTCAAGGACAGCAGCAGCCTGTATAGAGGAAATATATTGCTCTGGTGTGTTTACCCTCCCCATCCCTAAATAACAGCCCTGTCTTGTTGGAAAAGGGGCTTTTAAGTGTGGAAGTGCTTCGCTCTCCTATAATCCAGCCGAGACATTACTCCTTCCCCTGGCAGACGTCCGCAGATCCCCCCTCTCTCCCAGCCAGGCCTTGCTCTCGGCTGCTATAGCAGAGCCGCAATAACTGCTGTTTGCTTAGAGACTTGCCTCCTAGGTTCTCTCTGTCACACAGAAATTGAATATTTTTCCAAATAGGGTTGCAGCTGCGCACAGATAAGGAAAAGTCCTGTTCACATAGCACAAAGAATAAGACGGGGTCATTGTGTATGCATGTACGTGAGTGTGTGTACGTGAGTGTGTGTCATATTTATTGTTCAATTTAGTTTTAAAAATAATGAATGAAACATTTTTAAGGAGAGCAAAAAACGATCATGAAAGAAAATGTAATAATCATATTTTTTTTAATGTTTCAATGATTACAAATGTATTTGTAATTTCTCCATCAATTTAAAAATTATCCAACTGACGAATACAAATTTTAGCAGATTCTATTTTTAATGTGTAAGATAAATATGTTTTTTTGCACAACACCTTATTGAAATATAAATGCCCTAAACACACACTGCTAAGAACACACAGCATATCTTATGATAAACTCAGGTGGTGTTTTCAACACGAAGCAAGATACAGAGTTACGACCAGGCCAATAGGCTACACCCAATTGTTGTATGACCAGTGGACCGTTTTTACGACATAGTTTTGCACTTTGCACTTCCTTTTCTTCTAAACACTTCTCAGAGAAGCATAAAATGAGTGACGCACAAAAAAAAGAAAGAGATGCCAGATAGGCTCAGGGACGCTGCCACTTAACCAGCACAGAGAGCAGTGAGAGCCATCGGCTCATATCCCTGTTGTTCTTGTCACCAGAGTTTGAATTGACCCTTACGTTCCGCTGCCTATGTCCTTGCTGTGTAATGTTCTGCTACGAAATTATGTAGGCAAGCAGAAAGTTTCACCTGCCATTTCAGGGGCACCAAATCCCCCGCCGCACCAGAGGCCTTTGGCAAGTGGAAACAAATGTTTCACAAAATGGCAGGGAGGGAAACACACTGGTGCACAGTTTTACTGATTGCCAATCGTAAAATAAAATCAGTCATGAAAGGGGAGGTTTTTTGGCCCACCAAAGGCCTGCCTGTTATATCAAATTTGCCATAGCTTTCTTTTACTGCCTTGTTTTTTCCCTTTAATGGCGAGCAGTTATCCGCACAGTATGACTCCATGTAGGTGGTTTAGCAACAGAATAGATTGCATCTGAAAACACAAACCCACAATGTACACGCCAAATAAGAAATGGGATGTAAATCTAAATGATTGAACTCCATGCAATCCTCTACTTCTGACGCATTCACAACCTCCATAATTTGCTTGATTTTGCTAGGGAGCAGCTAGGGTGATGTTCACCATGAATAAAGGCACGACACAAACAATCCACTCTGCAACAGTGCCACCTTTAAATCAGTCATATTGACAATCGCTGCACAGACAAAGACAACAGCGAGGAATCCACGCTGGAGAGAGAGAGTGCGACACTAAAACAAAGTGAGCAAATGTGGCCAACGGTCACTGTGCGCGCATTCTTACTGAATTATTTCAGTAACAAATTACCTTAATAAAGCCAGAGTGGAAGTGTTGATATAATTTCAAAATACGAAAGTTGTGTTATGATCTGTTTAATGCATCAGTCAAATATTTGTACATTGCACAAAACCTCAGCTGCTGATCTGAGGGTGGGGGATATAGCAGCGAGAAATTAAACAACACGCAATGTCACACATTTTCAGATGTGATCATCCTTACTCACCCAATCACACTGACTGAGCCTTTAGAGTGCTGTGTACTGCGAGTGTCTAATAAAGAGTTGAGAATACAGGGAAATGTATCACTTTGTCTCCCCCAGACCCATATAGAAGTGTGCTGGGCTGTATTGATCTACGAGTAGAGATGAACGCACAAGCAAAGAGGAGCAATCTGGTGCTCTGGCAGATCAAGAGCAGCTGCAGTTCTTTGAAACCGGACGCACTACAACTGAAACGAGGCTATAGACTGAAAAGGTACTCTCTCTCACATGGGACTCATAATGGCATACTAGAGCTGAAGAAATCAAACACCAAGACATCCGAGCAGATAGTTTCCTTCTTTATTCCGCTATCTATTTTTGTACGTTTTCCAATGAGCACCTGTTTTTTACAGGCGCTGACAAAGAAATACGATTGCTACTATATTAATTATGAAAAATAATAATGTTTAAGAATTTATCATTTTGTGTTATTCAAAAGGTTTTTCAACCCCCCACTATTTACTGTTTGTGAGTCACCATACAATTACCCTGTTGTGTGAACGCTTTGACATATTCTCTCACACCAACGCACAAACAAATACAAGCGAGATTATGTTATACACAAGATGTCATACGGACGTACTTACAAGAAAGGGGGGAGATACACAAGTCTTTCAGTTTTACCATCTCACACTCATTCTCAAGCCTTTCAGGCTCAGCCAAAAAACCCGTCCTTCTATTGTGTAAGGGCTCTGACCACTTTGATATGCTAATGTATTCCTTCCAAACAGCTGGAATTTGCACTTGCATTAATTTAAACATTTCTTTTGCACACATACATGAAAACAGAGTTCCCAATGAAGAGGCTTGAAAAGGAAGTTCAGCTCCTGGAGCCTGATTAAAGTGTGTATTAGCTTATTTCTGACACATTCCTGAAAACTCAACACAAATAGCCTTTGTATTTAGCTGTAATGCATGGAGAGACAGATAAAGACAATTCATCCTCCAACCACTGTTCTTTAGCTTTGTATCTTCTAAAGAAAATACTCGAAGGTTGTGCCTATTCAATCAGGACTTGCAAATGCTCATTTGAATTACAATTACATTTAAAAAAGCTCAACAAATATCACATTTTAGTGTAAGTGTAAATTCCTCTGGTGAACACCTATGATGAATGTGTTGTACAAGGATATTAGAGACCAAACAGAGAAGTGAGACACATTCATGGACTCTAATCCAGGCAGGAATTCGTAGCTCACTCTCTCTTAAAATCAAACATACAACAAAAAAATTAGCATGTGAAGACTGGGACTACATTTTTCGCAATCCGCTGATCGATCTCTGTGTATTGCTGCTGAGCTCCGGGCTGCCATGCACCAGCGGCTGTCCGCGCTGTGTTTCCCGGGCCAGAGGAGTCTCACACACCGCATGTGCGCTCCTGCCGCCCGGGCTACTCTTTAACACATGGTTGACAAGACGCGTTCGGAATCGGTGGGCCTAAATTATACATGTGCAGTAAAAAGATCTAATTTTACTGCTACTCTGCGACGGCTTGATTCGAGTTAAATCAAACAGCCACATATTACGCATTTGTGACACGTTCTCATTTTTGTGATTGATTTCCATAACATATACGCTTGTTGCATCACGAGTTCTCTGTTTGGCAAAAAAAAAGTAATTATAACATTGCAAGGCGAGCCTTGACTGGTTTTCTTTCTTTGGACAAATAGCTCGGTCCCAATTATAATGGATTAGCCTGTGAATGCTCTCTAAAATCACACCGACATCGCTTCTAAGGTCAAAGCTTCCAGCATAAATCCCTATTCATACCAACAAGACCATCAGTGGATTAAAAAAAAAAGCCTCGGTGACCAGCACCACCAACAACTACACTTCAACTCTGGGGGCATACAGACCAATTAAATGGTGCTTTACATGTTCTGGGTCACAAAAATGCGCAGCTCTCCACTTTTTATAATAGTTTCTATACAGCCAAACTCTGCGGCCGAACATATCAATCCACATCTGGTTATGTTTGATTAACCATTTTTCAATATATCACGTTAGCTCTCGGACCATTTAAATTACTACAACAGACAGAGGTGTCCAGTTTTGAAGCTGTGTCCATTGATCAAACCAACTGAGTTTCAACCTAATACAAACATTTTTTTAAAGTAGTCCTAGTTAAAACACACTGCGAGACTTGCATGATATCTAGAGAGGCCTATTATTTAAATGAGTGCTGTAAACAAATGCAAGACGTAAGAAAAGTTGTTACACACTCCACCAACAACTTGATGGCCGTGTCCAATTGAGTGTCGATGAGAGTAAGGTGCAAACGAAGAACGTACCTTTCTTGAAAAAGCAGCGAGGCCAAACACGCTGAAATGAAGTCAGAAGGGATGTGAAAAGTAAAAATGTCAGATAGTGGAAAGACAGTCTGATGGGAACTCCTCTGCAGCGAAGAGACTGAGTCTACAGCTCTGATGCATGCTCTCCTTATCTGGGACAGAGGCTGGCAGGTCCCCTTCTCAGCCCGTACATCCCCCTGCTCCGGACACACACTTCCATGGCCAGAAAGGTGCGCTTCAGTCCTGACTCATCCGCGCCTCTGAGCGGCTCGGCTATTCTCGGCTGTCTCGTGCCTCCCGAAGCGGCGACAACAAACAAGAAGCAGAGCTCGGGGACCCACTAGGTGAAAAAAAGAGTGGCTGAGAGGGACAGTGTGGGGCTTTCAGTGTCTGTTGGGGGGAAAACACCGCTCTCCGCTACTTTAACCGCCGACGCTGCTCTCTTGCTCTCCTCTGAGTGTGTAGACAAGTTTCAGCGGCTCGCCTGTGGAAGAGATCCCGCTCACAGTGTTCACTTGGTGGAAGCGGCGCGGAGCGGGCTTCCAGTAAACAGCGCCAGTGCAGAGCAGGCTGCCGTCTGCAGAGCAGTCTGAGCGGAGGACTCCACCAAAACCTGACATGGAATCCACATCCGCACTGACTCGGAGTCTAGTTCTGAGCAAGGAGACTAATCACATCGACTTATTATCATGCCCGATAGAATTCAGTTCAGGTATTTTTCTTAAACTCAAGAGAATATTTAGCCACGTCATACAGTGAGGTTATCAATAATTTCCTCTCCTATTTGCTCCCTTTTTCTGCTTAGAAATGCATCACTGCTTTCCTTTTGGGCATGAGAGGCCCACGCTCTGTCACAGTAGGCAGTCCGGCCCATTCAACCAATGACAGAGGACTTATTCTACTGTAATACTACCAAGCTTAAAAAGAAACATGGAAGTACAGGGAGAGTTTTTTGCCCCCCCCCCCCTGCTCACTTCAACTGGCCCCACAGGATAACACACTGGCCCGGGCAGCGGTGGTCAAGCTGCTGCTGGTGCGTGGAGCCAATTGTGTGTGTGTAGTGCCAAGCAGTTTTTCTAACCAAGTCTCTCCTCAATTGTGGGTGTGTTTTTTTTCTCCCTGCACTTTCCTTCTACATGATTCATGATAGCATTCGGCAGTCAAGCAGATTTTTGTCAGGCTGCTGTGGCTTTGACCCTTTGACTCATTACTGTAGCTGCATGTTACGTTGGTGGTCCACCATTCATATTCACTTTACAATGCAGGTGATTACAATTCAGTCTGTGCAATATAAGTATGGGATTCACATTTTTATTAAAACCCTCAAAACTCAAATATTCTTCTCAAAGTAAGAAAATCCAAATTTCAAGCAGCTGCTGTTTTTTAAAGAAATATTTTCATTAGGGCCTCTATCTTTAAATCAGAATATCTAGACATAAACAAAACGTGCAGTTTTCTTTTTGCATTTGGGGAAGACTCGGGGCATGTTATGATCTGGCTGAGGAATTCTGTCCAGAAACATTATCAGGCAGGACGTGGGTACACACCTGGCTTCAATAACATCTGTCTTTCACCCACAATGTGGAAATGTGAAGTTGAGTCATGCTTGCCAGGTGAAGGTGAACACAGCAGAGGGGCAGATTTATGTTTTCATAAGCATAATTTTACATAATAATACAGCCATCTCTTTTGCGGGACAGAAAAAGAGAAAACAGATGTAATAAAACGTGGAGAAAATGTTTATTTATAAGCCCAGACTAAAAACACATGTGGTGTATATGGCTGCAGTGTTGAACAGCTTAAACAGCCATTTTGCATGAATTCATTTGAATCTGCTTCCTCAGATTGTCAACAGAGGGCATTAGACTTGTGTTGCTGTTCTCTGAATGAACATAAATCATTGAACTGTAAAATTCACAGGCAGATTCAATATATGCAGGTGAAGACATAGATACCCGTTTGATTCACACGGTAATTACAACTATTTTGTAAATTATAGGCCACCTTGTGTGCAAAACCCAGGCTTTTGCAGTCGTTTCTTTGACGAGTCACAGCGGTTACACATAAATTGTTAATGTGCAAGTGTTTATGATAAACTGTGATATAATCATGTCTTGCATAGGCGGCACAATATTGCACGTAATCGCTCACCAAATGGTGCTAGATAAATGCTGGCTCTTTTGCGCAGTCCAGAAAACATTCAAAAAGGTGAAAATATAACTAAATTATGGCAGAATTTTTAATATATATACTTTCCCCAAAAAAATACAAATTCAACGGTGTGTTTGCAGAATAGAAAAAATGCAACCTCAGTGTTTTTCTGTTTTTATATCAGTTGAAAATGATGGCAGATGCTTTAGACAGACCTCAGTCATCCATGGTGAGAGCAAACATGTCTCCCCATTTCCCATGTGGCTCTGAGCCTGCTTCTTAACCTTCAATTGTTCACCAAACAATGCTTATTGGTTCCTTCCAAAAATATTTGCACATGATTGACATTTCAGGCACACATGACCAGTCACAGGACCGCTGCTGACCCCCAACAAATCTGAGTCCTTTAGCCTGATGACGGACACAGATTTGGCCAGGTTATATGCTTCAGAGCACAATTTACAAAGCCACGTCTAACCTTGATCACTCAATCGTTTGTTCATTAAGAGTTGTTGACCTTTTATTAAAGCTCTATTGAATTTTACCCGGCTTGACCAACACCTACAGAGTTTGCCTGTGCCATTTACTTATTGATGTGACCAAAATAAACAAAATGTGTTGAACTGCTCCTGTAATTGAGACATCATTTAAACATCAAGTTGACTTAATGTTGCTGTGAGCTCGCAGAGACTCATCTTAAGGACTCTGAAATAGGGTTTCATTTTTCTATTTTCTCTTTCTCACATCTCTACCAGCCACATAAGTTCAAAGTGAAGCTTCAAGTATGCAAACTGCAGACTAGTGATGTTTCGTTCCCTGCCTCGTTTGCATGAAATCCAGCAGCTTGATCTGTTCCTCACCAAGTGAAAGTCCGCCACATCGCTACTACACCGACTCTCTCCGTATTCTCTCATCAATTTACCCAAGCTGGCTCTGGTGGTCTCCTTGGATATCAAACCCTCGGAGTAGACTCATAATCAAAGAAGGCCTCTCTACACAGTGGAGGCTTGGTTAATATTTATGTAGCCATGGGCAACCGTGCAGTGTGAAGTTTGACCTCACTTCAGCAGCACCTCTCGCAGCGGCCATGTTTCTGCACTGGTTGAACTGGACACTGAGTTTATTTAGGGAAGCCACAGGGCTTGCATAGACTTATCAAAAAAATGTAGCCTCGTTGTCATTACATTTTTTATAAGTTTAAGAATATTTAAAAAACGTTTTTGTGTAAGTTCTGCATGAAGCTGGCCAATTTCCTGTGTCAGGTTATAAATAATATTCAATTTTAAGCTCTGGACTGAAATTCAGTTCTTAGTCTTGCTTGTAAATATGGATTTTGACAGGAGGGGACAGCTGAATATTAGCATTTTCCAAAAGGATTGATTCATAAATAATTTTATTAATATATTGACATTAATATGTTATCCATTGAATAACAACGTTTGTTAAAGTAATATCTGAAGACTGCATATTAAAGGTGGGGTAGGTAATTTTGGAGAAACCAGCTCGAGTGCGCTAGAATTTGAAAATACACAACCGGAAAAAATCTGCCACTTCCTTACAGAGCCCCTCCTCCAACACACACGAACGCGCACATGACCAATGAGGGCACGAGATAAGTTTGTGCACAGATGGAAAGCTGACAGGCAGGTAGGCCATCCAGTTATTTTAGCCAGGCCGGCTAAAATGATTGGTCGTGCTTTTTACAGTACTACGGCTTCCACAGATGACATTTTTTTATGGATTTTTTGTCAAAGCACTTAAGATATTCATTGCTATCGGGATGTTAAGAGCATTCCATGGAATATAACAAAAAGTGTATCTCGAGCCGGTTTCTCAAACTTACCTACCCCACCTTTAAAGTATTTTTAAAACTATCATCAACCGTCACTGTTTTCACAAGTGAAACTAGGTTGACATAGGGCTGCTCAATTAATCGTATTTGAATCGCAATTACGATTTTGGCTTGCAACGATTATGAAAACAACATAATCGAAATAAAACGATAATTAAAAAAAAAAGGGTAATCGACTGTTAAAAACATACTGTTCACACTTTTTATTTTCAATAAATTGATGTTTTCAAAGTAAATGGATAATCGTTTTTAATAATCGTGATATCAATTATTGACCCAAATAATCGAGATTATGATTTTTGCCATATTCGAGCAGCCCTAGGTTAACACGGACATTGTTTTGCTTTTACTTTGTTTAGCTAAGTAAAAAGGAATGGATTACTGTATGTAAATACAAAATAGTTGTATGCGTTTTTAATTTGCTTGCTGATTACTGGCGATTCTTTTGAGCTTGTCTCAAATCCCATATTTTGATAGATAAAAATATCAATGGGTATTTACACACGTATGAACCTGATTCAAAATCAATAATGGATAAAAGAGTAAGATTGTGTTGGTTTTTCTCTGTTATTTTCCTCACTAAACAAAAAGAAAGGCAGCCCATTCCATCAACTTCTGTCTAACCGTATATCAGCATATGTATGCTGCGACATGCACACCAAGTACAATATTATCAAATCAAGTCCCAATGAGTGATCTCATCATTCTGCTCAAATTTCAGTTATTTAATCACTCCGTCCAAAAATGCTGCCATAGTCGGTCCCCCCTAAAAAAGCCCAGGACTTATAATTGACCCAGCAGACAGGAAACAATTAAAAAGAAGTCAAACACATGAGGGGCTTTGAGATCAAATTTGAAAAAAGCAAGGTCCAGTGTGGGCATGTTGGGCTCTGGCTTGCACAACTGTCAAATAAGTTGAGTGTTAAAAGACCACACTACATAAACATATCCTTTAAAAATAAATGGTATCATGGAGTAAACACTAAAGAATTTTCTGAAGTGTGTTGTGTAATCAAACCTTTTTCAGAAATACACTCTCTGGTACATAACCTTTTGCTCTTTCTGAGGTTTGATGTATGAGACACATGTTGGTTTAAACAAGCATAGTGGAGCAGCGGATATAGGTGAAGAATCTCTATTCAAATGTTTTGTATGGAAACTTAGCCAAGTGGAAACAGATGTGCCTCACTTGTGACCTATAAAAAAATGATCTATGGTCACAAGTAATACGGTTCAACAGAGGCCAACGGTTCCAATTTGCTTCACTTTGCCGTGTTGTGCTCTGTGTTGTGTAAATGCAGACACATTTTTCAAGCAAAAGATGTGGCATTCACTGTAAACCAAGTGAATGCTCAGAATACTCTGAAATGACTGGGTTGAAAGAAGGATCCATTTATTCAGGGTCGCAACACATGTGAAACTACAGGTTTCCTCTCAAGCACAATGTTATCACAATTATAATCCATCAAGTTGATTTATTTTAATACGAGTTGTGCGGCAGCAGAGAACATCTGTGATCATCTTTTCAAGGAAGTCTGAAATAATAAGCTAACCGTTTTTTTCCCATCATTGTTATTTTACAATTGTCTTACACAGATTTAAAATTAATATATCATCATCGTATTCCCAAAG